CATTCGCATCCGAGCACGTTTTTATATACATGATATATAAATGTCACGTCTGTGATGGGAAAAAATATTTTTTTTTTTGGAAAAACTGTGTTTTTCATGCAAGGGGAAATCTTTGAAACCTCTTTACTGACTGCTTTGAAATTTTGACACAGCATTGCTCTCGAAAAGGCGAATGTTTTTATATACCTACTATATACATGCCTCACATTTGACAGGAAAAAACATTTTTTTTTTTTTAACAGCGCCATCTTTTGAATGTAAGAACAATGCACGCTGTAATCTCCGAAAGTTCTTCACCGATTGCTTTGAAATTTTGACACAACGATCCATTCGAATACATGTGTGTTTTTATACACCTACTATATAGATGCCACACCTGTGACAGTTAAAAACATGTTTTTTTTAAACAGTGCCATTTGTTGTATGTAGGAGCAACATTCGCAATACTAAATATGTTACAATTACATTTCAATGTTTCCGATTGCATTGATAAATTTTATTTTTATAGATTTTGATTTATTTTATTTTTTATTGAATTATTTTGTGTGACATTGTGTTGGAATTCAGCTGTGTTGTTTACCATACCGTTCATTTTGTAAATATAAGTATAGATGCCACACCTGTAACAGGTAAAACTATGCTTTTCTTGAAAAGCAGCACCATCAGTTGCATGTAAGAGCAACACACATGCTATACTAAATATGTTTCAATTCCATTTCAATGTTTCTGATTGCACTGATAAATGAAATTTTCATAGGTTTTGATTTATTTTCATCTTGATTTAATAATTTTTTTTGAATTATGTTGGAATTGAGCTGTGTTGTTTACCATACTGTTCATTTCGTGAGTATAGTTTATTTTAGGTTGCTAGCCACTCCACCATCCTCTCTTCCTTTCCACCATGGCCCACACCCCAGTCCCTTTGTCCTCACCATTCTTCTTTCCCCCCATCACCTCGTTCCCACCATCCCAAACTCCCCTGTCCCCTCATCCTTCCCGACCATTACCCCCTCCCTTGTCCCCTCGTCCTCCCCACCATCTCTCACTTCTGTCCCCTCATCATCCCCACCATTCCCCACTCCCTCGTCCGATGCCTTCCCACATGGTCTGATGTTCCCATCAGAGAATTGGGAACATCAAGTAATTTGATGATCCCATCACTGAAATATAAGAAAAAGTTAAAAAATGAAATGAGAATATGAAAAAATATAAAAATAAACTATACTCACAAAATGAACTGTATGGTAAACAACACAGCTCAATTCCAATGCAATTCACACAAAATAATTAAATCAAGTTGAAAATAAATCAAAGTGAATGAAAATTCAATTTATCAATGCAATCAGAAACATTGAAATGGAATTAAACATATTTAGTATAGTATGTGTGTTGCTCATACATGCAACAGATGGCGCTGTTTTTCAAGAAATGCATAGTTTTACCTGTCACAGGTGTGGTATCTATACATATATTTACGAAATGAACGATATCGTAAACCGTCAGGTCAATTCCAAAACAATATCACACAAAATAATTCAATGAAAAATATAATAAATCAAAATCTATGAAAATAAAATTTATCAATGCAATTGGAAACAATGAAGTAGAATTCGTGACATATTCAAAATAGCATGCATTTTGCTATTGTGTGCAACAGATGGCGCTGTTTTTCAAAAATGCATGTTTTTACCGATCACAGGGGTGGCATCTATATAGTAGGTATATAAAACCACGCTTCTATTCAAACGCAACGTTGTGTCAAAATTTCAAAGCTAATGGTGAAGAACTTTCAAAGATTACAGTGTGTGTTACTCTTACATCCAATAGATGGCGCTGTTTTTCAAAAAAAGCATGTTTTTTCCTGTCATGGGTGAGGCATGTATATAGTAGATATATAAAAAGACGTGCTTATTCGAATGCAACATTGTGTCAAAATTTCAAAGCAATCGGTAAAGAGGTTTCGAGAATTTTCCTCAAATGAAAATCACAGTTTTTCAGAAAAAGCATGTTTTTTTACCGTCACAGAAGTGACATCTATATAGTATGTATATAAAAACCTGGCTGGATGCAAATGGAACATTGTGTGAAAATGTCAAAGCAATCAGTGAAGAACTTTCGGAGATTAGCGATTTTGAACAAACGAACATTTCCATTTTTATTTATATACATTGAATTATTTTGTGTGACATTGTGTTGGAATTCAGCTGTGTTGTTTACCATACCTTTCATTTTGTAAGTATAAGTATAGTTGCCACACCTGTGACAGGTAAAACTATGCTTTTCTTGAAAAGCAGCACCATCTGTTGCATGTAAGAGCAACACACATGCTATACTAAATATGTTTCAATTCCATTTCAATGTTTCTGATTGCACTGATAAATTATATTTTCATAGGTTTTGATTTATTTTCATTTTGATTTAATTATTTTGTTTGAATTGTGTTGGAATTGAGCTGTGTTGCTTACATACCGTTCATTTCGTGAGTATAGTATATTTTAGGTTGCTAGCCACTCCACCATCCCCTCTTCCTTCCCACCATGCCACACACCCCAGTCCCTTTGTCCTCCTCACCATCCTCCTTTCCCCCCATCCCCTCATTCCTACCATCCCAAACTCCCCTGTCCCCTCATCCTTCCCTACCATTACCCCCTCCCTTGTCCCCTCGTCCTCCCCACCATCTCTCACTTCTGTCCCCTCATCATCCCCACTCCCTCGTTCAATGCTTTCCCAAATGGTCTGATGTTCCCATCAGAGAATTGGGAACATCAAATGATCTGATGTTCCCATCACTGAAATATAACAAACAGTTAATAAATGAAATGAAAATATGACAAATATAAAAATAAACTATACCCACGAAATGAACTGTATGGTAAACAACACAGCTCAATTCCAATGCAATTCACACAAAATAATTAAATCAAGTTGAAAATAAATCAAAGTGAATGAAAATTCAATTTATCAATGCAATCAGAAACATTGAAATGGAATTAAAGATATTTAGTATAGTATGTGTGTTGCTCATACATGCAACAGATGGCGCTGTTTTTCACGAAATGCATAGTTTTACCTGTCACAGGTGTGGTATCAATACATATATTTACGAAATGAACGGTATAGTAAACAACACAGCTCAATTCCAAAACATTATCACACAAAATAATTCAATAAAAAATAATAAATCGAAATCTATGAAAATAAAATTTATCAATGCAATTGGAAACATTGAAGTGGAGTTCGTGACATTCAGTATACCGTGCATGTTGCTATTATGTGCAACAGATGGTGCTGTTTTTCAAAAACGCATGTTTTTACCGGTCACAGGGATGGCATCTATATAGTAGGTATATAAAACCACGCTCCTATTCAAACGCAACGTTGTGTCAAAATTTCAAAGCAAATGGTGAAGAACTTTCAAAGATTACAGTGTGTGTTGCTCTTACATCCAACAGATGGCGCTGTTTTTCAAAAAAGCATGTTTTTTCCTGTCACAGGTGAGGCATGTATATAGTAGATATATAAAAAGACGAGCTTATTGTAATGCAACATTGTGTCAAAATTTCAAAGCAATCGGTAAAGAGGTTTCGAAGATTTTCCTCAAATGAAAAACACATGTAAAGCACAGTTTTTCAGAAAAAGCATGTTTTTTTTTTACCGTCATAGATGTGACATGTATATAGTATGTATATAAAAACCTGGCCGGATGCGAATGGAATGTTGTGTGAAAATTTCAAAGTAATCTGTGAAGAACTTTCGGAGATTAGCGATTTTGAACAAACGAACATTTCCATTTTTATATACAGTATATAGATTACTTTTATCCCCCAAAAATTAGTTAAAAAAATCATTTTTTTCTTATTTGTTTATCGGACGATTTGTATGAAACTTATACACCTGACTGTATGTAAGCCTATCTGTAAGGGTGCCAAGGGTGCCAAGGGTGCCAGGAAATTGGTTGATGTCAGTCTCAGCCACAGATGGCAGCATCTTAGACTTTATTTTTTACTTATTTTTTCAAGTAACAAAAACAAGTAACAAGTAAGTTCCTATAACTCTTTCATTTTTTATTCAATTTACATGAAACTTACACCTTATATGTAGAGTTTAGGTCTGTACAAATTTGTAAAAAGCATGTTTTCCTAAATTCATTTATTGATTTTATAATAGTAATAAACCATGATATATTTGCATAATTTTTTTATGGAACTTTGACTATTTGTATTAGTAAAACTAAACATATTTTAAAAAATCCGCTATACAGATCCTTTTATTATATGCTAATGTAATAGAAAAGTGTCATAAAAATGATTTCATTAGAAACTTGTGGCTGTAGTTTCGATTTGAAAATATGTAACATTCGTTGAAGAAAATAAAAATCTCCCTCTCTATATAGGCTGCAATACTGAAACTTGGAACAATTGCAGCTCTTATCATAAACAACTAGTCAAAAAAATTGGTTGACATTGAACAACTTATAAGAAACGCAGTTATGCCCACTTAACAGGAATGAAGAACAAATTGAAACAGTAGAGGAGTGAGAGGGTGAGGTGAGCCTTGTGCGTACCCTCAGGCTGCGGGGCTCCCATAATTCTTATCTTATTCTCCGTCATTCTCTGTCGCTCAGGAAGGAAACACTTTACCTCACTTAAGCTCTTACTGTAAAAAGGAAAATTTCCTGGTGCGGAAGATTTGCTTTGTCAATATGTGCAGTGTTTTACCATGCTAGTTTATCATCAGTTGCAAAACGGTAACAAAACCTGGACAGTATATATAATGGGAAAATATGTAGAGAAGTATAGTGATGACTTTATTTTGTAATGTATTAATACATCGTTGTCCCGGGTTTTCAGTATGATGCATTTCACTGTGAAGTTTTGGACTTACATTATGTTAAACATAATTGTAACAGGAACAATTTTCGTGTCTGGTTAAAATTTCAACAATAGTAATAATTTCCATGTGTCGAAATTTAAAATTACTTACTTTTTATTTACTTTCAGAGAGTGACTGGACCAAATCTGGACTCGATAATGATTCAGATAAATGGAATTTGGAACAGAGTATCAAAATGGGAGGAAGGGCCTTCAATTTTCTTGTTGAAGCTTCTGTAAGTAGGATTTGTTATTGTAACGCATTCAGGTCATTTTTAAGGTAAAAATAATTAATTTATATAAAGTAAGGCAATATTTACTCAGTTGATGTGAGAAGTAATGGGACACTCAACATAGTTGGTGGAGGACTAACAACAAATATTGACAGACATGCAGCCCAGGGGAATGGAATGGATTGATAGTGACAATTATTGGCTTCTGGTACAAGTGGTACAGTTTACTAAGTGTTCATGAACAGCTGACGCCCATAGATATGCCATTAAATACGCCTAACCCACTTGCGCTATTTTCCAATAAGAATGACAATTTAGTGGTATTGGAAGGCAGTTACTATAGTGTTGGGGCGGGCAGTTCCCGCCCCATTATAAGTCTTCCCCCCTTAACATCTTTACCCATTTATAAACCGGGCCATATTATTGGAAAATATTACTTGCACTATATTACCCTTCCATGGCAAAATATTCAGCTCTATTTTTCACATTTTATGGGCATACATGTATAAACACAGGGGAGGGAACTATTTGGAGAAAGTGAAATGCTGTCATGACTATATAGCACTTGGAAGGGGTCAGAATAAAGATTTGGGATCGGACGGGGGAGAAGGAATGGTACCCAACCATTTGAACGGTCGGGGATTGAACGCCGACCTGCATGAAGAGAGACCCAAGCAAGGATCCCTGCGAACGACCATCATCACTATAACCATTTACAGAACACACGACAGTAATTATTACTGAGAGCACATCACGTAAGCTGTCCTCATCTCTTTAATTATCATCACTACTCCGGCACTACTGGCTCTTAACTACACATTTCCCTCTCCTTACCTTCCTTGTCCCTCACCACCTTCCATGTCCCTCACCACCTTCCATGTCCCTCACCACCTTCCTTGTCCCTCACCACCTTCCTTGTCCCTCACCACCTTCCATGTCCCTCACCACCTTCCATGTCCCTCACCACCTTCCATGTCCCTCACCACCTTCCATGTCCCTCACCACCTTCCATGTCCCTCACCACCTTCCATGTCCCTCACCACCTTCCATGTCCCTCACCACCTTCCATGTCCCTCACCACCTTCCTTGTCCCTCACCACCTTCCATGTCCCTCACCACCTTCCACGTCCCTTCACCACCTTCCATGTCCCTCACCACCTTCCATGTCCCTCACCACCTTCCTTGTCCCTCACCACCTTCCATGTCCCTCACCACCTTCCATGTCCCTCACCACCTTCCATGTCCCTAACCACCTTCCATGTCCCTCACCAACTTCCTTGTCCCTCACCACCCATTCCTCACCACCTGTCCCTCACCACCTTCCATGTCCCTCACCACCTTCCCCTCACCACCTGTCCCTCACCACCTTCCTTGTCCCTCACCACCTTCCTTGTCCCTCACCACCTTCCATGTCCCTCACCACCTTCCATGTCCCTCACCACCTTCCATGTCCCTCACCACCTTCCTTGTCCCTCACCACCTTCCATGTCCCTCACCACCTTCCTTGTCCCTCACCACCTTCCATGTCCCTCACCACCTTCCTTGTCCCTCACCACCTTCCATGTCCCTCACCACCTTCCATGTCCCTCACCACCTTCCATGTCCCTCACCACCTTCCATGTCCCTCACCACCTTCCATGTCCCTCACCACCTTCCTTGTCCCTCACCACCTTCCTTGTCCCTCACCTTCCTTGTCCCTCACCACCTTCCTTGTCCCTCACCACCTTCCATGTCCCTCACCACCTTCCATGTCCCTCACCACCTTCCTTGTCCCTCACCACCTTCCATGTCCCTCACCACCTTCCATGTCCCTCACCACCTTCCTTGTCCCTCACCACCTTCCATGTCCCTCACCACCTTCCATGTCCCTCACCACCTTCCTTGTCCCTCACCACCTTCCTTGTCCCTCACCACCTTCCATGTCCTTCACCACCTTCCTTGTCCCTCACCACCTTCCTTGTCCCTCACCACCTTCCTTGTCCCTCACCACCTTCCTTGTCCCTCACCACCTTCCATGTCCCTCACCACCTTCCATGTCCCTCACCACCTTCCATGTCCCTCACCACCTTCCTTGTCCCTCACCACCTTCCTTGTCCCTCACCACCTTCCATGTCCCTCACCACCTTCCTTGTCCCTCACCACCTTCCTTGTCCCTCACCACCTTCCATGTCCCTCACCACCTTCCTTGTCCCTCACCACCTTCCATGTCCCTCACCACCTTCCATGTCCCTCACCACCTTCCTTGTCCCTCACCACCTTCCATGTCCCTCACCACCTTCCTTGTCCCTCACCACCTTCCTTGTCCCTCACCACCTTCCTTGTCCCTCACCACCTTCCATGTCCCTCACCACCTTCCTCACCACCTTCCTTGTCCCTCACCTTCCTTGTCCCTCACCACCTTCCATGTCCCTCACCACCTTCCATGTCCCTCACCACCTTCCTTGTCCCTCACCACCTTCCATGTCCCTCACCACCTTCCATGTCCCTCACCACCTTCCTTGTCCCTCACCACCTTCCATGTCCCTCACCACCTTCCTTGTCCCTCACCACCTTCCATGTCCCTCACCACCTTCCATGTCCCTCACCACCTGTCCCTCACCACCTTCCATGTCCCTCACCACCTTCCTTGTCCCTCACCACCTTCCCTCACCACCTGTCCCTCACCACCTTCCATGTCCCTCACCACCTTCCATGTCCCTCACCACCTTCCTTGTCCCTCACCACCTTCCATGTCCCTCACCACCTTCCACCTTCCTTGTCCCTCACCACCTTCCTTGTCCCTCACCACCTTCCATGTCCCTCACCACCTTCCATGTCCCTCACCACCTTCCATGTCCCTCACCACCTTCCATGTCCCTCACCACCTTCCTTGTCCCTCACCACCTTCCTTGTCCCTCACCACCTTCCTTGTCCCTCACCACCTTCACACACCTTCCTTGTCCCTCACCACCTTCCTTGTCCCTCACCACCTTCCTTGTCCCTCACCACCTTCCTTGTCCCTCACCACCTTCCTTGTCCCTCACCACCTTCCATTGTCCCTCACCACCTTCCATGTCCCTCACCACCTTCCTTGTCCCTCACCACCTGTCCCTCACCACCTTCCTTGTCCCTCACCACCTTCCATGTCCCTCACCACCTTCCTTGTCCCTCACCACTTCCTTCCTTGTCCCTCACCACCTTCCTTGTCCCTCACCACCTTCCTTGTCCCTCACCACCTTCCATGTCCCTCACCACCTTCCTTGTCCCTCACCACCTTCCTTGTCCCTCACCACCTTCCTTGTCCCTCACCACCTTCCATGTCCCTCACCACCTTCCTTGTCCCTCACCACCTTCCTTGTCCCTCACCACCTTCCACCACCTTCCATGTCCCTCACCACCTTCCTTGTCCCTCACCACCTTCCTTGTCCCTCACCACCTTCCATGTCCCTCACCACCTTCCATTGTCCCACCACCTTCACCTCACCACCTTCCTTGTCCCTCACCACCTTCCATGTCCCTCACCACCTTCCTTGTCCCTCACCACCTTCCTTGTCCCTCACCACCTTCCTTGTCCCTCACCACCTTCCTTGTCCCTCACCACCTTCCATGTCCCTCACCACCTTCCTTGTCCCTCACCACCTTCCTTGTCCCTCACCACCTTCCATGTCCCACCACCTCACCACCTTCCATTCCTTGTCCCTCACCACCTTCCTTGTCCCTCACCACCTTCCTTGTCCCTCACCACCTTCCATGTCCCTCACCACCTTCCTTGTCCCTCACCACCTTCCATGTCCCTCACCACCTTCCTTGTCCCTCACCACCTTCCATGTCCTTCACCACCTTCCTTCCATGTCCCTCACCACCTTCCTTGTCCCTCACCACCTTCCTTGTCCCTCACCACCTTCCTTGTCCCTCACCACCTTCCTTGTCCCTCACCACCTTCCATGTCCCTCACCACCTTCCATGTCCCTCACCACCTTCCACCCTCACCACCTTCCTTGTCCCTCACCACCTTCCTTGTCCCTCACCACCTTCCATGTCCCTCACCACCTTGTCCCTCCTTCCTTGTCCCTCACCACCTTCCATGTCCCTCACCACCTTCCATGTCCCTCACCACCTTCCATGTCCCTCACCACCTTCCATCCCTCACCACCTTCCTTGTCCCTCACCACCTTCCATGTCCCTCACCACCTTCCATGTCCCTCACCACCTTCCATGTCCCTCACCACCTTCCATGTCCCTCACCACCTTCCATGTCCCTCACCACCTTCCATGTCCCTCACCACCTTCCTTGTCCCTCACCACCTTCCATGTCCCTCACCACCTTCCATGTCCCTCACCACCTTCCATGTCCCTCACCACCCTTGTCCTCACCACCTCCTTGTCCCTCACCCTTCCTTGTCCACCTTCCTTGTCCCTCACCACCTTCCACCTTCCTTGTCCACCTTCCTTGTCCCTCACCACCTTCCATGTCCCTCACCACCTTCCATGTCCCTCACCACCTTCCTTGTCCCTCACCACCTTCCCTCACCACCTCCCTCACACACCTTCCTTGTCCCTCACCACCTTCCATGTCCCTCACCACCTTCCATGTCCCTCACCACCTTCCTTGTCCCTCACCACCTTCCTTGTCCCTCACCACCTTCCTTGTCCCTCACCACCTTCCTTGTCCCTCACCACCTTCCATGTCCCTCACCACCTTCCTTGTCCCTCACCACCTTCCTTGTCCCTCACCACCTTCCATGTCCCTCACCACCTTCCTTGTCCCTCACCACCTTCCTTGTCCCTCACCACCTTCCTTGTCCCTCACCACCTTCCATGTCCCTCACCACCTTCCATGTCCCTCACCACCTTCCTTGTCCCTCACCACCTTCCTTGTCCCTCACCACCTTCCTTGTCCCTCACCACCTTCCACCCTCACCACCTTCCTTGTCCCTCACCACCTTCCTTGTCCCTCACCACCTCACCACCACCTTCCTTGTCCCTCACCACCTTCCTTGTCCTTCCACCCTCACCACCTTCCT